ACACAGAGGACTCAGTCCTGCTTTTATCTTTAGAGAAAAAGAAGGAAAAAAAGGAATAAACAGCAAACAGAAGAGATGTTTACAGTCTAGAGGAATATAGACAAAAATACGAGAAAGGCAGCCAATGGAGACACAAGTGTTTGACATCAGTGCAAAGACAGAGTATAGAGTCTGTGTGAGTGTCCTGTGGGGTGAGGGTCCCTCAGACCATGGCTCAGATTGGTGAGGTGGGTGGGCAGGATGGGGTGTGGGGGGAAGGAGCTGTTCGTGAGTCTGGAGGTGTCAAACAGTTGGTGGGCGGGGTTTGAGGGTTCGGCTGTGAGGGCCCTGGTTTACCTGAGACAGGAGGATCTGACGATGGACTCTGGGGGGACAAAGATGGTTGGACAGATTGAGGCCAGTTGGTGAGGAAGTGTGTGATCCAGGAGCTGGGGGGTCTAAAGGCGTTCCAGTTTGGTGGTGAGGCTGTCTGAGATGATGGCGTTGAACGCTGAGCCGTCGACCACAGAACCAAACACAGAGACCAGAGGAGCTGCAGGTAGCTCCAGTCTGACTTTCATGAAGCAGCTCGTTGATCATTGTGGCCGAACTACTGAAAGCATTTAGAAAACTAAAGATTTGCTTCCAAATAAAATAAAATATTTTTGTGGAAATATTAACTGGTGAGAAAGCCTGAGTGTGGTTTTGTGGCCTCGCACTCTTTATAAGGGAAATAAGTATTGCATTAATTGTCATTAGTTACTTTGTTGCTGTGTTAAATGTGGTGTTGTGTAATGAAATGAATTAATAATTCTGTTATGGTTTCCTATCTCGAGTTAAGAAGCATCCATATCTACCACCTGACTTCTCATTTTCATCTGCTCTGAGTTCTGATTGAGGAAGATTTAGTTGTGCAACATTTGAGCTTTAGAGTGGAAGCTGCTGGAAAGCAACAACGCCACAGTTTCACCACTCGAGACGCAGCAGAGGAAGTTTCCTTCATCCTGTTGTTTCACACAGCACACGATGAAAGACGGCAGCTTGAGTTTACAGTGAGAGACTGATTGTTGAACTGTCGATCGGTAAAAAATCAAACGTTTAAACACGTTTACTTTCATTTCTACATCGTAAAATTAATCCAAAATAAAATAAGATGGGATTGTGTCACTAAATTAATGAAATAAAGACTAAAATAAAGTCTGGTCTTTTAATTTATCATTTTGAGGATGTGGCCTGATGACATATAAAGTGTGAAAATGTGTTTCCAGGGAAGTTACTCTAACAAAGCGGCCTTCTCAGATTTGCAGAAACAAATAAAAATAAAACTCCAACAACTGATAAACTGATGCAACAACAAACGACCCGACATTATTATGAGGGGGTTGATATCAGACAGGACAGCTGGTGTGTTCAGTTGTGTGCACAAGTGTGTTTAGGCGTTCATGCAGTTGTTGATGATGACAGCTTTGTAAACCTGCAGCAGATTTGTCTCTGGAACTGTTTGTTCTCAGTGTTTTTCAACCAGAAACATCAGCAGCCAACAAGGTGATCTGTGCTTCACCATATGTGAGCTATGCAGTCCAGTTCGTGGCCTTTAGCCTGGGAAAATGATCATTATCAAGTCCATCTCTAGTCGTCTCATATTTCAGAAAGCTGTGCGATATTTATTAAGTTTATTTATTATTTATGACTTGTCCCAGGCTTAATGTTTAGCTTTTCTTCACCTATTTATGTGTTGTTGTTGTTATTATTATTAGCATTATTAAAATAATAATTATTTAATTGAAACGAAATACCTATGAAAGCTCCAGTAACTCAAAAATCCTTCTTTTGTTGTTATCTGTTTTTCAGGAAGATGGAGAAGGTTGATGATGCCGTCGTCTACTCTTCAATAGTGAAAAGATGATACACACACACACACACACAGATATAGATAGATAGATGTAGTTGAGGATGCACACACTCAAGCTTTGAAGCTGATCCTTCCACCGTCTCGTCAGTGCTAACTTGAAAAGCTCTGAAGGCTGATCTGTGTTATGCTGTTGTAAAGCTTTAAAGCTCACTGTGAACACTTGCTTACACGTGAATTTCTTCTCATCACTGCTTTGAGCAACTCTAATGTATTTCTCTGTTTGTAGATGAAGAAGCAAAGTTTTCCGTGTTTCGATTAAAAAACATCTGAAATGCCTTTTCTTTACTACTAAACATTTTACTGAACAGGGCAGCTTCCTTTGCATTCATGGGTGGTGTTATGATGATTGAACAGCTTCACCTACTGGAAATAAAACTGAACACCGCTGCCCTGTGCGTGGAAACAACTTGCACAGATTCAGGCCTGTGGGCTCTACATACTCTGAGCTCCACTTACAAACATCAAATGCACAATGAATATTTTCTGAAACACATACTGACGAGTGGCTGTGTTTAACTTTTACACTTCCTCACACTGTCCTTTCCTAATATGCACATATACACAGGTTTCTGCATCGCAGTTTTGGCCAAAATATTTGGAAATGACTCAACAGTTACTACGTTATTACAGAGCTAGAAGAATGCTATATTGATGGGGACGAATATAAAAATCATTAGTTGTACAATACTTCCAAAATTGTTGAACATTCATTAATACAGAGACACAGTCTTATGAATAAGAGCAGCCTGTGAAAAAATAAGCACGTCGAAACTACATAAGAATTAAGAGCCCAGGCAGAAACCATAAAATGCACATTTCAGTGAGCAGTGTTGGGGAGTAACGGAATACATGTACCGCCGTTACGTATTTAAAATACAAAATATGAGTAACTGTATTCCGTTACAGTTACC